GATTTACGTTGTATATTAGGTTGGAGACGAGGGAGATTCTGGCGGTTACTCTATTTAATAGGTTTAACCTTCTTCCTTTTCTTTGAGTTGGGTGTGGAGGTAAGAGTATGCTTGTTAGGGATTAATTTGGTAAAGTTCTTGGGTCGATTGCAACGTATTATTACAATATAGGGATTTCTAAGACGAAGGTAGAAATCGTTAATATCCTACTCCTAAAGACTAGTTAATAATTATACATAGATAAATTATAGTAATAAGGAACGTACGAAAGGTACTTTGAAATACTAGTAGGGATAAATATAATTGAATTTTAACGGCTTCTTAATAGTTAACTACTTAAAGATTTTATAGTAGCAAGGTAACTTATATTGAAGGGGAATATTACAATCCTTATAATAGGGTGGGAGAGGAGGAGGGTTTCTACGTTAATCTATTGGTTAGCTTTTATTTATTTAAAGGTATTTATAGTTAATTATATCTAACGCTAGAAACGTAATTTGTAATAGAGGTTGGCCTAAGTAATTACGAGTAATATATTTATTGTATTGGCGGGTTTAGTAGTTTATTAGTTTCTATTTAAAGGTTCTATATTATTTATTGGCTATTTCGAGAAGAGCGATGCTCGGCGCGCAGTGTCACTTTTCTACCCGCGCAGTGTCACTGCGCAAGTAGGGTTATCTATAAAGGCATTGCTACTGGCGCAGTACTATAGTATTCCCTAACCCTGTGATACCTCTAATATAATTAGACATCTTGACAGCTAGCTTTGAAGTTCGTAATATATTCTTGGTGGAGTTATAGTAGTTAATTGGTTGTGCTTACACAAGGTCGCTAATCTCGCAAATCTGTATTGACTGTGTAAAATAGTATATTTGCAAGCTCTTCACGGCGGCAGTGCGCGAATCGATAAGCTCACCGGGTTGTCTTATATACAGTTAATCCATTACTATTAGGGTTAGGGATTACTATGGCACTGCGCGGGTAGGAATCCCTATATAAATGTCCCTACTCGCGCAGTGTACACTGCGCCAGGAGAAAAGTGACACTGCGCGCCGAGCAAGGCTCTTCGAGAATAGTAGAAATTAGTTTAAAAATATCGCTATTACTATTAAAAAGGTAATTTTTAATGCTAAGGTTGCTTAATTTAGCTAGGGAGGTAATCCTTATACTAGAATTTTCACACTATTTAATGTAATAGTATGCTTATTAATTTCTAATAGGTAGCTAGTTCTTTTGGATATAACGAAGGATTAATTTCTGGGATAAAAAGCGCCTTTTTATATCCTCCTAAGTAGTAAAGAAGTTATCCTTTGTATAGCTATATATTATAAGTTTAAATTGCTTTACAATACTATAAGGATCGTTAATAATAGAGGTAATTAAATTGTTAGAAGGGTTGGTACCTCTACTATACATAGAGGTATAGAGATTATAGTTTTTATTATTGAAAGGCATGGGGGTAGCCTATTTATTAACACCCTTTTTATTATTAGAATTATCGTTCAATTCTTCGTTAGTATTATTCTTTACCTTCTTAAACTTTAGCTTAGCGTTGTATAGTACGTTCTTAACTATATATAATAAATAGAACTACTATTAAGTATTAAGGAAGATTGATTCCAAGCATTGCTTTATTTCCTTACTCTTATTAATATTAACGATCGTCGGCTCTAGAAGGTTGTATCGTAATTGTATTTATTTGGTAGCGTTAATTAAGAAGTTAAATACTATTTGCTTCTTATTATTAATAATACTAAATATGTAATTGAAGATAGAATTAACGTTAGTAATATTAAATATTTAATGGAATAGGTAGTTGAAGCAATTGGAATTATAAGTATTATTAATAATTATAACCTTATAAAAGCGCTAGGCTATATATATATAACGTAGAAGAGTAAAGATAATACCTAGTAGCTTTGTTTTATTATCGGGATCTATCTTCTTAATATAATTAATGTTATTATTATTAAAGACTTTAATTAAGGCACTTATTGGCGTATAGCTATTAAGATTACGACGGCGAATTTGTGCGTATGCGTTATAAATATCCTTCCTTGTATGTACTGCTTCTGGGTGGTCGTTTCAAACAATAGAGGCAATCTCTCGAGCTCGTATAATATTAAGTTTTGAATGGTTATTAATAGTTTTAAATACTTTCAGCTTCATCTTTCGATATTGAGGGTAAATAGAAGGGTCGTACAATTGAGGATAGTTGTATATTTAATAATAGGATGTAATATATAAATAAAAATATTAGAGATTATTTTCCTTCTTTACTACAGCTATCTAATTATAATTATACTTCCTTAAGGCTATCTTTTGAATTGTTACCTTAGATTTACGAGGCTAGCTATATCGGTCGTAGAACAAGTAATATCGTGTGTATTTTAAGGCTAGAACTCTCGGCTTTATACTACGGCTGTTTCGATAATTAATTGTAAAGCTATAGTCCTTTGCCCAATTGTTAACCGCTTTGTAAAGCTCTTGAATTGTGGTAGACGAGGGGATGGCGCTAGTTGGTGGGTTGAATATTTCGTTTCGGTAGTTAATAGTAATTCCTTCCTTATTAGAAGAATTAGAATCGTTAGTACAGTTGGTAGTATCGTTATTGGAGAAGCTTTCCTACTCTTCTTTGTTGCTTTGACTAGAGGTAGTTTAATTATTAGGTAGTATTTTGAAAGTATTGTACGTAGTGTGCGTAGTACTATAAGGCTTTAAGAACGTTAGTAAAGTATTCTATTAGTTAATACGACTATCATTTACGTACGTATAGTTAATTCTAGCCTATTCTAGTAATAAAAGGACGTTTAGTTGTAGAAGGAGAGTAAAAAGGATGTTTAAAATTACTAGAGTATAAGTGAATGAGGGATCTACTGGTTGACTGGGCTTGTTACCGTCTTACAAAGAAATACAGTTGTACGATTACTGTCTGATTGTATTGAAAGGTTGAAAGAAAGATTCTGTACGTTAAACCCTAACCCGATTGGGGCCCTAATAAGGATTGGGGCCCCCGTAGCCAAAGGCTGGTGCCCCCGGAGTAAACGCTATAATGTAGTAGTATAATAGTCCATACTAAGTAATAATACTATATTCTTTATTATAAAGCTCCAAAGTAGACGGGTCTCTTCGTTAATTAATTAGTATATACTTTTCTACTTAGCGGTATTCGTAATTAATCAACTCGAAAGCAATATATTTAATCTATAATAGTAGTTTCCCCAAATATATATAATCGATATACTATTAGCGCTAGCGGGTTTACTGCTTTATAATCTTATCTTTAAACGTTTAATATCAATTAGTAGTTATTTCTACAATAGTTATAATAAGCTTATAAATATTCCTATTACTATTAAGAAAGTAACTTTTAATATTAAAGTTACTTAATTCAATTAGCGAAGTAACCCTAATATTAAAGTTTCTATACTTCTTAATATAATAGTATACCTATTAATTTCTAATGGAAAGCTAATTATTCTAAATATATCGAAGAACCAGCCTTTAACCTTCAAACTACTTTCTTAATCTTCCCTAAACTACCTACAACTCTAGCTCAGTACTAGCGTATATTATAAACTTAAATATAGCTATTATACTATAGGGGTTATTAATAATCTTAGAGGTAGTAACGGGTTAAGAACTAGTAGTCGATTTACCGGGGGTACCGCTAGTTTGTATAGAAGAGTAGACTCTTTAATCGGCCAAGTTAAAAGAAATTAGATTCTCCTAATTATTTTTACCCTCCTTATCCTTAGAATTATTTCTATTGTTAATCCCCTTTTGCCTCTTCTACTTCTTTTTGGCATTGAATAGTACATTCTTAATAATATAAAATAGATAAAGCTATTATTGGGTATTAGGAAATAAATTTCTAAGGATTATTTTATCTCTTTATATTTATTTGTAATAACGATTATAGGAAGGGGTAAACTATAGTGTAATCCTAGCTCTTTAGTAGCTTCAATTAAGAAGTTAAAGGTTTCTTCCTTCTCGTTGTTAATAATACTAAAAATGTAGTTGAATATAGAGCTAATAAATAAGACGTTTGAAATTTAGTGAAAAGGATAATAAAATTGGTTGGTGTTGTACGTAATATTAATAATTATAATTTTAGGGAATATTCTAGCTATTTCTATATAAGTTAGAAAGGTAAAAATAAAGCCTAGTAACCGTTCGTTATTATTCGGATCTACCTTTTTAATATATTTAATATTGTTATCAACAAAAGACTTAATTAGAGCACTAATTGAGGTATAGCTATTGAAATTGCGGCGGCAGATATATATGCGTACGTTGTATATATCGGTTCTTGTATATATAGAGTTTAGAAAGTCTTCCCGTACTATAGTATTAATCTTTTAAGTTTGTATAGTATTAAGTTTAAAAGTGTTATTAATCTGTTGAAATATCTCTGGCTTTATTTTATAGTATTGGGGATGTGTAGATAGGTACTAGGACTAGCCGTAGTTGTAGATTTGGAAGTCTAGGTTAGAATATAAGTGAAAGTGCTAAAGACTATTGCCTTTAGTATTTTTAATTATAAGCGCTTTCTATTAATAAGTATATTTGCGTGAAGTTGTCTTTCGAATAGTTGCTTTAGACTTCTGTAATTCGCTATAGTAGTTATAGATAATATAGTATCGTGTATAGTCTTTAATAAAAGCTTTAAGCTTATTACGTTCCTAGGTACGATTAATTATAAAGTTATAAGACTTTGCCTATTCGTTTACTACCTTGTAAAGAGCCTTAATTGTAGCCGTAGGGAATATAGCGTTAGAGGGTAGGTTCGCAATTGCATTTCTTTGATTAAAGAGTTCGTCTTCTAGTTCGTTGTTACTATCGTTAGTTAGAGTTGGGCTGTAAGAAGGGACGTTGTAATTTGAATCGGATTTAGGATCGCTCTCTTCGTAGAAGTAAAGTGATTGGGTTAAGGAAGGGGGACTGGAATTAGCTAATTATATATTAACGTTGACGGTATTGTCGTTAGAGAAGCCTTCCTACTCCTCCTTTTCTTTGATGTAGGTAAGGTTGGTAAGCGAGGGTGACGCTATCTTGTACTTTGAAGCTTTAAGAAGGTTAGTAAAAATTTTTAGTAATTAATACGATTGATATTTATATACGTACGGTTGATTCTAGCCTGTTCTGGTGTTTATAGATCCCCTAGTAATACAGAGGAAGTAAAATAAAGATTCAAAATTACTAAGTCTTAAATTTGGGCATTGAGTGCTTGTAAATAGGGGTTCTATTGGCTAACTGGGCTGGGCACCGTTTGTATGGAAATGCTATTGTATAACTACTGTTTGATAGTATTAATGGTTGGTAATAAAGAATCTGCACGTTTAACCCTAACCCGATGGGTGCCCCAATAAGGTTGGGTGCCCCCGTAAGACGACCCGGGTGCCCCTAGAGTAAACGCCGTAGTAATAATGTAACACTATCACTACGTTCGTCGTAGGATATTGTAAGGGAGGTAAACGACCCTCCTAAATCGATTGCCGTTATTAATATTCGTTTTGGAGCGCTCCTCGACTAGAAATCGACGTTTCCGGTTTCGGCGTCATTTTCCTTTCTATTTAATATAGGTAATTAATTTCGTATTCCGTCAATTAAGACAGTATATAGGAACTTTATGTATAAGAATGTCTTTTCGGACCGTTGAGAATATCTTCAAACACCGTCGACCCACCCTCCCCGCCGTCCCAGCCAATTAGAAGCGCCGCATCCTCTCGCTTCTACTAGCTCCCGCTTTTGACTCTACTCTACTCAATCCTTCTCGTACCGCGCCCGCTAAGCTCCTAGATTTCAAGCTATTACACTTATCTAGGGGTTGCACTGGCCACCCTCGTACTATACTAGCCACCTAGCTAATTTAATTTAACGATTATTCTAGTATATACCTCATTGTATTACTTCCTCTACTAAACTATATATATTACCTTCATTACCCTTAATTAATCTACTACATTATATATCGCTAATTATTACTAAGTTAATAAAGCGCTACTATTCAGTCGACGGTACGAATTCATTCATTACTTTTTAATGTATTTCCCTAATTAATTGTAATGTAAATAGCCGATACAGCGACCCAGCCCGCATACGACTGTAGCGTAGGTAACCCCAATGAAGTAATCGACCTTACTTTTATCAACCCTAATTTGAGACCCCTAATAAGTACTACCCTAACCGAGCCTACCTTTACCTAGCTAAAACCTATTGATATTAATATTAATAACGATAACAATAACAATAATAATAATAACCCCGTCTCCCTCCCTTACGAATATAGCAATTACCCCGTCTTTAATACCTAGTAAAATACCCTCGATAAATTAATAAATATTATATAAAAGCAATAAAGAGAATTTGGTTCTAGTATTGTAAAGGGTCGTTCTAATAACCTCTAGAAGGAGTATAGCAGTTGTACGAGATTTGAGCTTATTTGTACTACCGGTCCCTCTCGCTACAAATTAAAGAGTTACTCTTGGTCAATTTTAATTGCTAAATAGGGATACTTTTAGCGGGGGTATACCAAGGTATTGAAGTGTAATAACCGACGGTAGACTTTCGAATTTCAATACAGTAATAAATCTTATAGCTATCCGCCTAGTAAAAAGCTATTAGTTTATTCGGTATTTAAGGCTGAGTATAAGGTATTTATTGCTACCTATATCGACCGATTAGGTATATCCAATTGCGAGATTACTAGCGAATTGGAGCAGAAATTTCTAGAGATTTACAAGTAGTTTAATTAGTAGTAGTTTATTAACCTTCGTTATAAATCTAAGAAGACTAACCCTCCGCACACCCAACCCATTCCCTACATACACCCAGAAACCCCCAGGCAGCTAGGATGTAAATAACCGTGTTTTGGGTGTAATCTTACTCGTTTTGCAGGTTAGGGACCTTGGTCAGATTTCTGAGGTCACTTTAAAATGTGTAATTCTGGCGATATCTCTGTACGCAATTAACACCATTTGTAGATGAATAAAAGTAAATAATTTGAATAAGATTAGATATAGTAGCGATGGTAATGGATATTGGTATGCGACGTTGTTAGTATACGACGTTGTTAGTTTGCGACGTTGTTGGTTTGCGACGTTGTTAGTTTGCGACGTTGTTGGTATACGACGTTGCTAGTATGCGACGTGCAAATGGCTGGCGGTAATAGGTGCAGTTGATTGTATGAAAAAGCGTAAAAGAAATGACCTGAAAACGGTATTTACAATGTCAGGTGTTATCAGCTGTATTGTCCCACAATTTTTGGTTTTTGGGTGTATGTAGGGAATGGGGTGGGTGTGCGGAGGGTTACTCTTAATATTCAATACTATATTCTTATTAATATAAAAGATATAGAGTTAGGACTATACTTAGGGATAAACTCGTTTAACGGCTAACTTTATTACTATATTATAATCTATAATAGTAATTTATAGTTTATTAGTAGTAATAGTTTTACAATGAGCGTTAATTTAATTTATAAGCTAGTTAAATCCCTCCTACCGTTGGTCATTAATTAGCCTAAAACTATAATTAAAGGTATAGCCGACCCCTACTATACTAATAATTTAGAAAAAGGCTAGGCCTTTATTATTAGTTTTATACGTATTATCGTATATTTAGACCTAGGGATTTTCCTTCCACCTTTACTCCCCCTATACATTATTCTAAAAGAGGATGATTAATTTAGTTTTGGCAGTATCTTACTAAGTAACTTTAAAGTAGACCCCCTTCTCTATGAAGAGTTTTATAGTAAGTTAGAATAGGTTATACCTAACTTATACCTCCTTCTTAAAGAGTAACCCTCCGCACACCCACCCCATTCCCTACATACACCCAAATCCTAAACATTGTAGGACTATGTAGCTAATAACAGTTGACATCGTAAATTCCCGTTTTTGCCCGCTAAATTTTGTCTTTTCAATACACGCAACATTCCCTCTAGCTTGGTTATTTCTTTCGCGCTTTTTCACATACATAGTCAACTACACCCATCACTGCCAGCCATTTGCACGTCGCACCAACAACGTCGCATACTAACAACGTCGTATACTAACACCTATTGTTATCCCCAACGTATCTAATCTCCCTCAAATCATTTGCTTTTGATCGTTTGCAAATGGCATTGATTGCGTGTAGAGATATCGCCAGAATCACGCAAGTGACCTAGAAATCTGAGCAAGGTCCCTGACATACAAAACGAGTAAGATTACACCCAAAACACGGTTATTTACATGCCAGCTGCCTTGGGGATTTTTGGGTGTATGTAGGGAATGGGGTGGGTGTGCGGAGGGTTACTCAATATTAAGTATAAGTGGGATAAGAAGGTCGCCGCCCAGGTTATATATATTTATACTGCTGCTATATAAGTACAAATATAATAAAAAATATCGGTATTGATATTAGCCTAACTTACGCTAGTATAACCTAGTAATATAACGAGTTTTAAAGAGCTTAACAATAAGGATTAGTAGGTAGTTATTAGCTTTAACCGTCTAGTAGATAGTACGGATTAATCAGAACCAATATCCGATACTATAGAGTATTTACAATCTAGACTTTATACCCTCTAGAAGTATATTTATTATACGTATACTATTAAGGATTTCAACACCGTATTTGAGAAGCTCTATAACTACTTTTCGTAGTAGACTATAATTATCACGTATTTAAAAGAAATATATATAACGGTTAAAGAGGAGTAGGCTACCTACTACGTTAACGAGAAGCTTAATTTTAGCTACTGCACTATATTACTAATCGAATTAACGAATTATACTTCAGAAAATTATATAATTAGCAATAAATCCTATAATTAACCATATTACTACCTATATAATTTATAGTATATTAATCATCGTTTTAATATAGGTAGTAGTACTATCGTCGCCGCTATTACGTAGAGCTTTAAATTAATCAACAGTATAAAATACAATATCGAATACAAGACCGAGAAGTAGATTATTCGTATTAAACGCGAGTATTTTAATTAATTATAGGTAAAAGATACCTATAGAGTAATCTATTAGAGAACTCTCAATAAGTTAGTACATTAACGTTATATTATATTCGGTACTATTCTCACGGAGCTTAAATTAGACTCCAACGAATTGGAACTATATACAGGCAAATTCACTATACAATTCAGTTTGCCCTATTCGTATACAATATTAGAATGCCTCCTTAACCGAATTTAAGTATTTATATTTAGTATTTATATTTAGTATTTATATTTAATAAATATAATTGCCACCTATATTAGTAGCTTTATAGATTATTCAATAACGAGGATAAATATTCAAAATATTAGGACTTTAATAAGGTAATTAAATTTAAAAGTTAACCCCGCTACGATACGCCTTTTACTCCTAATTTTCGTACCCCCCGATTGACTACGCCAATTAGTATTTAAACTCCCCCTCCATTAATAACGCTAGCTTAACTCTAAACGGGAATATTATAACTTCGGGGACGGTCTTACATTTAACCTAACCGTAACCGCCAGCCTAGAATAAGCCGCAACCCTGCAGCATCGATACGAATAGCACTATTAATTTAGCAAAATATATTTATATAGGAGGGTATTAACTTAAAGGTAAAGGATACAGTAGATGCCTAACCTCCTATTCCGTTATAGAGGGAACGAAGCCGTTTACGAAGCTCTATATAAGGAAAGGGTAGAAGAAGGAGAAGAAGTAGCTCTATACGGGGTAAAGGAAGCTATACTACTAGTACGGCAAGTAGAAGTACGCCAACTAGCACCCTAGCTAGTACTTAAGCTTAGTAAAGGAAATTCGCTAGTAGTTAGAACATTCGATTATACAATACAAATTAAATAGATTATAAATATATAGATTAATATAGATTCAATACAATTAATTAATCGTTTAATTAAGCGACTTAATTAAGTGCATTGTACGACCGTACCGCTAAATACACTAGAAAGTACGCTGTAAAGTACGCTGTAAAATTAGTCTGGTGCGTGCACTAGCTGTAGTCTGGAGTTTGGGCTTATTATAGTATGAAAGAATATAATGCCCAGATTTACTAGACGAAATTTATAAAAGAATACAACTGCGAAGTGGAGGGTGGGCCGCGGGTTGAATACGGCGCTTCTGATTGGCTGGGACGGCGGGGAGGGTGGGTCGACGGTGTCTGAAGACATTCTCGACGGTCCGAAAAGACATTCTCTTATTTATATTCGGCGCTACGAATTAGGACGCGTAGTACAATATATCCCTATCTTCACCCTCGCCTATAAAGCTTAAATAAATATAATAGAGAGTTTTACTATTATAATTATTATTCAATTGCTTAATGAAGAATAGTATATTATTATATCCCTACCTTATATTATACTATGCCGTCTAGTATATATTATCGAACTCGCTATAAATTTAAGAAATTTCAAGATACTTTTCATTAACCGTAGCGAAGATTGTCCGTGTTGTAAAGTCCCATTGCAATCAAAGGTTACTAAGGATATAATTCGCTTTTAGGTTAACCTTATAATCCTATACTTTAATACAAAATATTATATAGCTTTCTAATATATACAATAGGGGGTAGCCTTCGTATATAAGATTTATAGCCCGGGTAGTCTACTTCTACTCCGTACTCTTTTTAATCTAAAGTACTATTCTAAAGTGATAGTAGCGTACCTTCTTTTCTAATATAGACTATCGCTTTAAATATTCGTTAGCGATAATTAGTAGGCAGTAATTTATATAATTATAACGGTATATCTATTCAATAACGGACCCGTCTTTATTATACCCTAGTTTTTTAAGCTACTAAGTATGTTAGGTAACTATATTAAATTGGTAACGACGGTTAAAGTTAACAAGGTAGGTAAATAATTCGTTATGATCGTCAACGGGGTCGAAAGATAAGAAGGGATTATCTATTAGGATAGAGACTTCCTCGGCGTGCAGTGTCACTTTCCTCCGTATACAGTATTACTACACAAATAGGGGTCTATATAATAGCATTCCTACGCGTACAGTATCACTATTATCCCTAACCCTCCAACACCCTCATTAGTACTGAACATGGAGAATCAAATCGGTAGCTAGAAACGGGATATCTAGTAATAGGTTTTTAGCCTTAAATAATAAAAGTAGAAGTAATATTATCTATAAGGTAATGAGTAAGATATAGTAACTACGTCGTCTAATTATATTAATCCCTTACTCTTCCAGCTTCTTCCTCGAAGGTTTAACGGTCCTACCGCTCCTAATTATAGCCCGAGGTATTGAAGAACGTACTATAGTACATTTTTTACGGGGAGGCTGTTCGTTAGAATTCGAGAGAGTAAGGGGGTCGTTTGAGGGTGCAGTAATTTGAAGGTCAAAATCTGAAGCAAAAGGATCTAATAATAAAGGTGATCCTAACTGTACCTCAATAGTAGAACCTACAATAGAAGTTTTATCCGAATCTTTATTACCCGTACTAACCTTATCGACTATTTCAAATTAGGATTGCTACCGACGGAGTAATAACTTTAATATCTAGCTACTTTTACCCCCTTTTACTCCCTTCTTTACCACCTTCTTTCTCCTCTTCTCTCTACTCTTCCCTTTTCTAGTATTAGGGACTTACTAATCTCGTAGTAATTCTACTATACTATTCTTTAACCGTCCCCTAATTCTATCAGTAAATTTGGGATCCTTAATACAGGAATAAGGATTATACTTACTCTAATAATAGATTAGTATAAGTAAAGAAAATCTTAATAAAGAAAACAATACATACTAGTAGAGTTCGGATATAATAATAGTAATGAATATCCTAGCGGCTAAGCTAGGATTTAATCTTAAGCTTTATTAAGATCTTATAGTAATAGGGGATACTATACTACTTCTAAATAGTATAATTACATTCCTCCAAATCGTATACCGGTCTTTGCTCTAAAAGTATCCTAAATTGGGCAATATATAATTAACGGCGGATAAGATTAAGACTACAATATATAATTCGTTGAGGTAAATCTCCTAATACTTCCATCCCTAACCTAGTAAACTCGCCTCGTATTTTAATATTGTTACAGGGCTAGCCTGTGACTGTCATCTGGTCGCGGTATTACTACGGCTATGGTTGCCGGTTGATATACGCTCTCTAATTGGTTGATCCGTTCAGCCTTACTACCGCCGCAGTGGCTGCCGGGCTAATGCGCGCTCTCTAATTAACTATACGCTCCCGGAGGCTCCGGTTACGTATACTAAGGATACGGCTCATCCTCGCCTACATAGGATAAGCCGCCACGTACAAATTCTATAATTTCCCTTCTTCCTTGTATAATTATATAAGTTATATTCTACCCTATACGTTTAGTATCGCCTTGCCCCGTAATAATTGATTGTACTTTATTATTATACTACGAGCGTACTTTACTATAAAGAAGAAGTATAAGTTTTAATACTGCTCCGCGACGCCGTTAATCGCCGGAAATCCTGCAAAAAACGTAGAGTTTAGTAGAGCCTATAACTCTTAATAGTGATATTATTATTACTAATAAAGGTATTCTACTAAAAGTATTGGACGAGGATATCGACGTCCTAAACACCCCTCTAAATAGCAAAACCGAAAGTTCCGACCCGCTAATAAATAAAGACGTTTACTTAATTGTATTGAAAGGCGTACTACGTACCTAAATTATTAAATATTTTATTAGTACCGTTATAAACGATAAATCTAAACCTCTTTTAATTTTTAGAAGGTCCCTCGTTAATACGACTATCTTTACGGACAATAGTACTTTCCGATTTGTAATTTCCCCGATCGTTCAAATAGTTTAAATATTCGACTTATTTAATAACGGCCTCTTAAACTAATTTAAAGAGTTCGAAAATTCATTATATTTAGAAAGATTAAAGAATTAGAAGTTCGAAAAAGAATTTAGCGAAGCTTTAACGAAATAGAGGATTATTATAGATAATTAGGATTTTAATAGTAGCGAGAATAATTGTACTAATAATAGACTAGGTATAGGAGGTAGAAGTTTGTTAGGAAATAATTCGGGGGCCGTTTATTTAATTAGTATTATTGGGGCTCCTTTCGAGACCGTAACCATCTCTAGGAAGGCGCCATTTTCCGACCCTAACCCGTTTATAATTAATTAGAAGAACCTTATTCTATATAATAAAGCGTATATTATTTAAAAGAGTAGGATTATAATAGTTTAAGAATTAGATTATTTCTATTTCCCTAATAAGCGTACTAAAATCCTCTACGCTAACTACCTACTAGGCCCTAAAGTAACTATTATATTCGAGAAGGACCTTATAATTATTCTACTCTAATTTAACGCGCTTAACCGGTAGAAGTAGTAGATAGGTAAAAACTTTATTATATTTTTAGATTCCTATTATAATAATATCGATCTAAAATTTAACGCTGTATAACGCTTTAACGAGTTTAAATAGGGTAATGAATACTTTGCCGACTTCGAGACCGAGTTTATTAAGACGGCCGACCGCTATTAATTCAATAAAGCCATAAAGATCTATTACTTCCGCAATAGGATCTCGGCCAAATTCTATATAGTAATTTCCAACTAACGCTAATACCTTAGGGACGACGATTTCGAAGGTTGGCTATTTCTCTATAAGGACCTAGTACACTACCTAAAGGATAATAAATATTGTACTAAGGTTAATTAATTGTAGATAAATAAGTCTAGCGGAAATAGTAATAATAACGGCTTTATTGCGAATAGAAGCGCTTTTAAGGACTATACTATTAGTTAAAGCGGCGATACTATAGACCTCAATATAATTTATATATTTAGAACCATCTATTCCAATATTATTAATTAGCGTATAAAGGAGGGCCTTTGTAGGAAGTATAGCTAAGAGGGTTATATTATACGAAATTATAAGAATGGTATTAATTACGATGGTAAACCTCCGCAATTTACTAGATCCCGCGGTAATTGTACTTACCGGGGTCGTAGCGGCCGTAGCGGCCGCGGAGGGTATAATTGTTATGGGGCTGGCGCCCGGGTTATAGACTCTGGTCTCCAAGACTAGAGCTGTCGTTAGCCATAGTGGCGCAGAGCGCGCAGCCCCAATGAAAACCTCTTAGCGCCGGTGGATCTATATTTCAAATAGACTTTTCCTCCTTTATAGAACCTTAATTAAACTATACAACTAGCACCCGTATTAACCGTACTATCCCTATTATATTAAATTCTATTAATAATAGACCCAATAAATTAGGATATACCGCCGCTATAGTAGTAAAGGTAGTAATACGCTATATTAAATATAAATGGACCCGCTACTAATGCTGAGATAGTTAATGTAGTTGTAGTATTATTTGGCGCTTAGAGAGCCGCTAAGGAAAAAACGCATTATATAGAAGGCTAACGAATTAAAAGAGAGAATTTCGTTAGAAGTTTATTTATAAGTATAGCCTTCGCTAATACTATTAGAACTGCTATTAACGCCCCGCCTACTATTTACAAAATATAGAATAACCCTTAGGCATATACTTTCATAATTACTTATATAGCCCCTACTACCCTTAGTATTATAATTAGTATTACCTAAGAAGCCGCCCCTATTACCGCTCCTAATATTAAATGTAAAAATATTTAATAGCCGAAGTAGGACGGATCTATTTCGACCTTCTCCCTATTCCTTACGTAATTACGCCTTATATACGAAGAAGAGAGAGTAGCTAGAGCGATTTCCAACAACCGATCGGAGTAGTTAATACTATTTAAAATATTCCCTAATAATAAAATAACTAAAGTAAAGGCTTTTTAACGCTATAGCTATATTTACGACTCTTACCGGCCTATTCATTAATTTAACTATTTAGAGTCAATCTTCGGTAGTAAGAATAAAAAGCAGTTCGTATTAACTCGCCTACGAACTATTTACTAATATAAGAATTAAAGTTTCGTTAATTTCTTCCTAGTTTTCGAAGAGAATTTAACGAAGGCGGGAGGGTTAGTATAGGAAGACGAATTCCAATTGGCCTAATTGGATACTTCTATATCTAATACTCTATACGACTAGTTAATCTCAATCTATATACCTAAAATTTACGACTAATATATAAAAAATTTAAAAAGAGAACCTCTACTCGCACGTTGAGAAAACTCTATTCGTACGTGGATGTACTTTTACTTTTCCAGGTATAACTTGGCCAAACTTTAGTCTAAGAAGTCGAATATAGTATTAAACTACCTGTCGATTTTTAACGAATTTTTGGACATATAAACCAAGCTCATAGCCCTAAACGTTATCTAAATCCTACTTTTCTTGCCTTTTGGATATTAATTCCTCTTAATTACTTACTGATTATCTTTCTCTTTCTATACAATTTTCTAAGGCTTCTGAGGACGAGTGTTGTTCGAAGTAGGAGTATTAGATAGAGAAAAAAATAAGAAAAAATCTGAGATATTGTTTGGGTTCTTCCTATACGATTTCAAGTACGAAAAAAGACTTTGAAATGCCCTTTTCTTTCCACGTGCGAATAGAGTTTTCTCAACGTGCGAGTAGAGTTTCTCTTTAAAAAATATTATTTAGTAGTTCGAAGCGAACTAGGCCTTCTATAAGCTTAGCGGGAGTAGTAAGGGGGCCGCCAACTGCCGCTAAAAGTCTTTTCCCCGACGAGAATAAATTATAAATCTACCTTCGAAAAATGCCAATGGCGATATACTTCTAATAATGGGCGCTACTAAAATTAAGAGCGAGAGTTATAATAAGGACGTTAAATATACTAAATAAGTCTCTTAGGAGGAATATAATAAACGGCGCTTAATTAGACTTTATTTATATAATAGGGCTAGCGGATATATAATTAGCGGCTATATATATAGACCGGCTTAGCGTCCTAATAGTATTAGTATTAAAACTACTAATACTAAATTTTAAATTGAGCCGTTATTGGAAGATACCGAAGATTCTTCCTTAGAAAGGTCGGAAAGAGAATAGCTCCTATATAAAGCCGGGTATAGGAGTAAATAGGAATATTAAATAAGGAGGCGGGAGCTTCGAACTTCCCGGGTCTTATAAAAATAAACGTTACTAAAATCCTAATTACTATGAATAATAGAAATTAATTCTATACCCTCATTAATAAAGGTTGCTAGTATTATACTATTATTAGTAAGAGAGTTATTGAGAAGTTGAAGATTCTAGTAATCTTGGACTCGCGGGCACAAGAAGCGTGATGATTGTGCTAAGCTAAGAACGAGAAAGGAAAAGAACTGTAGAGGGCTAAAATATATAGTGGTAGCGCCCTAATGGGCCCCACATATAACCAAGCAATTCGGGCATACTAGTGAATAGTAATTTAGGCGCTCTATACTACAATACCCCCCCGTAGCCCGAAATAGGCTCTATGGATTTATCCTTCCTCTCGTTCTCCTTAATTAAGGTATAATCTTTACTAATTACCTTTTTCTAATTTAAAGTAGGCCCCTTTCCTTCGTCTATCAATATAGCTAATTAGACTCTTTAGAAATTTTTAGCGCCCGTACTAAAACGGGAAGCTGCTTAGCACTTAAACTCCTACTTAGGGGTAGAATACTAGCCAAAATATTATTAATCTATCCCTTCTATTATAAAAGTTATTATTACCCTTAATAATTTATTTATACCTCCTAAAATAACTTAATTAGTGTATATAAAGAACCTTAACTACTTTTACTATTACTAGCCCCCCCTAGGGTGCTATAGGGACGCCTGTAGTATAGCGGTTTATGTAGGACGCTTATAGCCGCTACTAATATAAGTTCGAAAGCTCGTGCGTTCAATTCCCTATTTATAACTTCTTTTCTCTTTAAACGCTTAATTATTATACTACTAACATTTTTTAAATCTTTTTTAATTTCTAATTTTGTCCGCTATAGGTTTTTAGTGTAGTTGTAGGCTGTTTTAAAGGGAATAGGAGACGTAAGACCGCCGTAAGACGTACTATTTCTCGGTACTATTAATAGTTACTCTATAAAAGAATATACTATAAGGTATTCGATTAAGGTGCGCGGAATAAGTCGAATTAAACTCTTTTCTTTTTACTAAAAATTCATTTAACTTCTCTTTTATTTAAAACTCGCTCGGGCCTCTATTGTAATAGTAGTCTTTACCCCTATTCGTTTAAACTTATAGTACTAGTCTTTACTTAAATTTAAATTATTTAATAAAAGAGGTATATTTATTTGCCTTTAAGGGTTTTATTAGGCTATCGGTAATTATATCGTCCCCTTTAATATAGATAATCTTAAACTCTTTTCCTTCAATTTGCTTAATAATTTATTTAAACCGTATATTTATATAACGATTACGGCCCGGAATCTTTCGATTTAAGACCCGACCCTTTATATTCTTATTGTCCGTATATAATCTTTTAGTAATAGTTATTTATAATTTAATTCTTCCAATATTTAGGAGATTTATTATAGTGATTTTACTATTAGAACAAAGTTTATAAATTCTGCCTTAATTATACTAATTGTTACGAAAGTTTGCTTTTTGGATTTCTAATATACTAATCTACCTGTAAAGAAAACGATATATCCTTTAGTATTATAATAGGTTATTAGATTATTTGCAAATGAAGCGTCCCCGAATACTTTTAAATTTATATTCGAAAGTAATATTTTACTTCCTAGAATAATTCTTATATCGGTATACTTTATTAAGTACCTAGATAGGTATTTCAATATTAATAGTAATCCTATTATTAGTTTGGTATTAGTTTCGCAAAGTTTATTAATAGTAAAAGTAATATTTAGTCGGGTGCCTATTAATAAGTAGTTAAAACTTCCGGTCTTTTTAATATATAGCTTCTACTAATTATATACTTCGTCCCTAGTTTTATAATTTCCTACTTTCATATCGTTAGGCTAAGGTATATTAATACTATAAAGACCTTCGTAATTAAACTTCTTCAATAAAGATTTAGTATAATAGGCTTATAAAACGAATATTATCCTCTTATTATAATCCTTTATAATATTGAAGCCTAGGAATATTTTTACTTCCTTTATATATTTAAGCTTGAAGTATTATAGAAGTTGATCCTAGATTTCAAATATAGCTTTTATTGACGGTGCCGCAATTAGGAAATTATTAATATATAGTACTAATAGTACTTTCCTATCTTTATTACTAAATAAATATATATCGTCGCTTACTAGTTTTAAAACCTATATCCTTTAATATTAATAACAATATTTGAAACTAATAAAAGGGGCTACTTTTGAATCTATATAGCGCTTTCTTTAATAAGTAAATTAAACGTTATAGTCCTTTGGGTCCTTTCTCCAAACTAGTAGGTTGCTCTATATAATATATTTTCCCCTTAGGGATTAGAATATTCAAGAAAGTAGTATTGAAATTGAATTGATAGTATTCAAGGTCTATAACTATTATAATAGGTAGAAAGATTTTTATACTTATTATATTAGCGATAGCCATATAAATATTTTTTATATCCTAAGAGCCTTATTTAAAATTGCCGTATACGACCTAACGTACTTTTGGTTCCTTTATTTTAAAGTTATAATTATCCTTCTTATTATATACCTATTTGCTACGAAGGACCTCTATATTTCCTTAGAAAGGTACTAGATTATAAACCTCTTTCTCCTCTAGAGTTTTCAATTGTTTTTCTATAGCTAGCTTCTAATAAATTTCGAAACCGGGCATTTTTCGTACTCTTTTATAATTTTCAGGAACCTGTTCCTAGTTTAGATCGTATACTACCTTTATTCCTATAAGGTATACTAATTATATATTCTTTTTAAGTAAACCTCTCTCTTGTAAGCTCAAGTAGAATATTGGGGTTTTTCTAATAGGCTTATTATTACTATCAATAATAATTTATCTTCTAATTAATATACTTAGCTTCGGTACTACCTACCTCCTTAGTCTACCAATCTTTATTAATTGTAATATCGTAGTATTATTAAATATCTTAATTTAATTTGCCTCTAAACTCTATTATTCTAGTAATGCTTCTTCCTATTCCAGCGATATTCGATATCGGCTTTTTATCATAGCTTAATCTCTGGGTAGTTTTAATAGGGTATTAACTAAACGATTTAGGGATAAACTTTATATTGGGTTCCTTTATAATAGAATAGGCTCTTCCTTATTTAAGTTATTTGGGTTAATGAACGGAGAATTATTAAATAATTTAAATTCCTCTTCCTTATCCTTTAAGTCGATAAATGATTCAAATTTATCTTTATTATATTCAATCGAATTTACTATATTAATAATAGGTATCGCTTTCTATAATACTTTAGGTTATATTATAGTACGTAATTATTTAGTATTCTACTTAATTTATATTGGGGTTTAAGGTATTAGAACTTCCAATTGGTGTATTAGAGCTTCCGGTTAGGATATTGGGGACGGCGTCGGCGTCTAAAGTATATTCGGTAGAAGTATTTGTAATAGGGTTATCGGTCTTAATTCCGGAGCTAGTATAACGTTGGGTAAAGGTATAGGAAGTGTAGGAAGTATAATTAAATTTAAGTCCTTTACTATATTAATTAACTATTCTTTTACTATTATTTTCTCTTGAGTTCGGCCTTGGAAGAGAAGGGACGGAGAGAGTAGAGGCTTACTCCTAGTGGAAGTCGCTACTTCGTCGGCGGCGTGCTTCCTCTAGGACAACCTCTTTTTCTAGGATGGCGGCGTATATTTGTACGAACTATTCTAAACTTCGAAAAATGTCTAATAATACTATAGATGTTGGGGAATCGGACATACGGCGAGATTCTATCGCTAGGAAGATATTTGCGCCCGCTATAGCGAAGCTAAATACGAAGGAGATCGCTTTGGCGAAGTAAATTGTCTATTTAACGAAGATAAGTTGCTCGTCTATTATAAACCGTATAGGAAGAAGGGCTACTTTACGTATAATTATAAAGAGTATCTTATTCTCCGGAAGGCTATTACGAAAGCGTCCGTTGTATACGCCGAGAGGCCGCGGGCATTCGCCCCTTGCAAAAACCTAACCGGAAGGGTATTGAAGCTAACGATAGAAATTACGGACGAAAGTATCCTACCGGACGCCCTTCCTAACTCCTATATTATTATTACCCTAGAGAGATAAATTGGAGGAGGTATAAAAAGAGGGCGGTTAAAAAAGGTTATTAGCCCGACCTCCTAATTGAAACCCTTAGTTCTATAAAGCCGGATAAATATATATCATTTATATTTATAGAGTGCGGAAGGGAGTTGGCTATATACTCGTCAGGTCTACAAAATCGACCGTCAGACTAGCGGGCGAGCCACTAGTCAGGGACATTGATTCGTACATGGACATTGATTCGTACTTGAAACTGGGGGTACCTCCCCACACCGCTATTTTACTAGCAAATAAAAGTAAATCTGGTTAACAACATATTTTTTTAATTGTATGCAGCCCAATTCCCTATACTGCCCAATACTCTAAATATATACTAAACATTTACTCAAATCGATAATATTGACTATATTTACGTACAATCGGTCTTAATTGCACTCAACCCCCTTTATTTAATCCCTCTATCTCCCTACTATATTACCTCCCTCTATCTCGCCGTTAAACTGCCCTCGTATTGCCATATCCCCTATCTATCGTACTATACTTCGTCGACCTTGTAAATCCGCTAGCGGCTCCTTATAGCCTTCCTCGACGGTTATTAATTTAATTTCTAATACTTAGGACGTTGTCGGTAATATGTAGGAGACGCTCCCCGTAGAGGGTAGAGTTTAAACGGCTGTAAAAGTATTTTAGAATAATAGATTTAAGACTATAGTAGATATAGCGAAGGTATTTCGAATTTTATATAAATAAATCGTAGGCCGCTGTAAGGGGGTATAACCAAAGTTAGAGAATAGGGGTAATTATATACTATTAATTAGGGAGGAGGATTTTATTATACATGCTTAGATTAATATACAAATATCCATTGGTTAGTAATTAATTTTATAATTGTAAAATTAAAGTAATTATACCTTATAGGGATTGAGATAAATCCCTAGTAGTTAATTTCAATTATAACTACTTTAATAAGATTAAATTGTAACGACGGTAGCGATACTTCTATACTTCGTACTTTAACTATATAAGTACGGTGTTACTTATAAAGAGGCGCTTTTTATAGTATATGTACTAAATTTATAGTATAGGTTCGAAAGGTATTATAGATTAGAGTAGACGTCGAAGTCTTTTATTTGTTCAATAATACTATTACCAAGTACAACGTTAAATTAGATAACGTTTGGAACGGTAATGAGTCTAGTTTTAGAGTTGGTGTATTAAATAAAGCTTATTATGTATAAATTTATATTAAGATAATTGAAGTCTAGTTAATTAACCCTAATTAAAGAGTTTTTATTATTGTCTTTAAGGCCGTTTTTGTATTTGGTCGGACTATACCCCCCTTCGTCTTGCTCCCTAGCATTAATATTATATTTAAGTATATTAACAACTCCCTTAAAGATAGGATAGTTATTACGGCCTCTTTATGAGGTTATATAAATAACTAGTATGTACTAGACTAGTTCAAGTACTGGGAGGAGCACTTACGTCCCCTTAATAAAGAGGAGAGGAGAGTTTTAATATTAGACAACTATAATAGTTACTATACTATTGAATTTCACGAGTAGTATAAGAGGAATTATATTACCCTCTTCCTCTTACCCCTTCATTTAATTTACTTTCTTCAACCTTTGGACGTTGGGATATTTTAAATTTATAAGTACTTTTATCAAATTAATATACGTAAGAAGCTCGCTTTCAATAATATTGACTATACTAAACTGGACTTTCTGGATGGCTTTAAGTATATACGTAGGAAGGTAATAAAAAGAAAGAATATCTACTCTATTTGGAAATGTACTAGTTTGAGTCCCTTTAACCCTAATTTAATACTATTAAACCTTTGTAATCCCTTAACTTTATTAACTAATAACGAGTATATTAAGTAGAAGCGAGGGTATATTATTCTTTTTATAAAGTAGGGGATTATTAATCTTAGTTTCAAAAAAGAAGCAACGGTATTTTATATACTAGGAGAGCCCGCTAGCGATATTAATATACCGAGCAGCCCCCCTATTGCAATCAATCCTAGTCTAATAGAGCCATCTATACTAAAAAGCAAGGTCTACACTATTAAAGACTGGAGTAGTGCAACAACCCCAGCACTCAACCTTCCTACTATTAAAGAGTATAGCAAGTATATTAATTAACGGCTATCGTCTATAATCAAGGGTAATTGTACTATTTCACCTACGGTCTTATATGTATTAGCTAAGAGAGACAAAACTAGTAATACTCTCAGTCTAGTAGCCGTAAGGGAGGTTGAACATACTCTCAATCTAGTAGCCGTAAGGGAGGTTAAACTTAAACGCAAGCGTAAAGAGGAAGCAGTCGAAGAAGTATTACGTAACTAACGTAATACTAACCGCTTATTAAGATGTAGCGGTACTATTGTTGTTGGAGATGGTCGATTACGTGCTGTAATAGATGAATATTATCGTATAGCTCTTAGTATGAAAGAGGACGAACGTATTTATATTCGAGAGCTTTAATAAGAGTAGACTACGTTGAGAGTGTAGATTAGTAGATTTATTTCTATTCAAAGGACGTAGATAAGCAACGAGAAGTTATAGTTATAGGTTCTCAAGACCTCCAGAAAAGAGATTAAAGAATTTGCAATACTATATAAGGTATAGTTTACTAATAGAGATTGGTTGGTTGATAAATACTGTAAGGAGAGAGTACGGCGTTGGAATTACTTCTAATTATAATAAGAGATTGCTATTAGTAATAAGGTTGAGAAGTTGGGGGGTTAAAGGAGTATACGTAATATAATTCTCCCTTTATATTAGTAACCGTCCGGTAATCCCCTTAAACTATATACTCTATAGGTATTTAACGAGTTAAGAAAGAAGGTTATAAATGAAGCAATTATAATTTGGCTAACTAATAAGGGTATTATATTAGTTAAAGAAGAAGTAGATGAGCTTGAACTTATTAATAATGAACTAGTTGATGCTCAAAAAGATCTAGACTGGTAGCATCCTAACGACAGACGATGGGTATGGATGAATTAAGAAGACGAGGAGTATGAGGAGTATGATGATGAAGCTATTTACGACGACGACGACGACGACGAGGGGGGGGAGGAGGAGGAGTATGGGGATTCTGACTGCGAGGAGGTTGAATGTAATTTCTAGTATAAACAGATTTATGTGCATATAAAATAACGATAATTTTACGTGTTAATACATATACTAGTCGTATTAACGATATTGCATGCAGCTGGAAAATATGGATATATTACTAAAAAAAATTATTGGCTCCGACAATGCTACATTGATTTGCTAGCAAAATAGCGGTGTAGGGAAGTACCCCGCTCGGTACGAATCAATGTCCATATACGAATTAATATCCCTGACTAGTGGCTCGCCCGCTAGTCTGACGGTCGATTTTGTAGACCTGACGAGTAATAGTAATAGCGTTTATACGGTTATAACCCCCTTAAGGGAAATAATACCTTTATCTTCCGCTATAGGATTAGAAGGAACTTTATTTTAGGGTAATTAATAGTTTAATTAAAAATATTCTATTAGAATATAGGAAAATTGTATAAGAGAAGGAAGTTTTTATTCGAATAAAAGGAGATTTATAATATTATAGCGATTTA